GTCACCTGTCACCTGCTCTGGCTGAGCCTAGGGCGGGCGGGGGTGGGGGGTGGGGGGACCGGTATAAAGCAGCAGGCGCCTGTGCCTGCTCCACCACATGCGCACTGCCTGCCTGAGTCTGTTCTGCCCCCTCCCCACCACTTGGCCACCACCATGACATCGGACATCCAGGCCCCTTTCTTTCTGCTGCTGCTATTCCAAATGCTTACAGGTGAGGGGCGCAAGGTGGGGAGGGGGTCTTCCCAGCCTTTCTGTGGGCTTTGCTTCCTGGGAGATGGCATCCAAGAGGCAGAAGTTGCAGACAGGGGTGGCCCAGTCTGTGCCAGAATAAAGAATAAAGGAGTGAGGCCAAGGACAGGCTGAGAAGAGACAGCCCCCCAGGAGAGTGGGTGCCAGGGGCAGGCGAACGTCCTGAAAAGAAGTCTGGAGGGGGTGGGGGTGGAGTCAGGAGAGGTAAATCTTAGGAGTGAAGAAACCCGACAAGCCAGGAGCAGACAGGTATGGGAAGAAGGAGGGAGGCTGCCAGCAGGGAGGGAGGAGGAGGGCTGACCTAGGGGCCACTCCCCAAATACTCCTGGCATTACTTCTTCAGATGCCAGAGAATGTATTTTCTCCTTGTGCTGATTTGTCCCCCAACCCAACTCTGTAACCTCAACTTCTGACAGCTGCCACCAACCCTACACTAACAATCTTTCTTACAGTCTCTGGTACAGCCCAAAACAGCACTACACAGGCTTTGAGTAACCAAAGCCCTGCCTCAGGCTCGGCTGCCCCTCCGGTCCACGGTGGCACCTCACCTGCCAGGCCCAGTGGCGCCTCACCTCCGAGCACCAGCCCTGCCTCAGGCTCGGCTGCCCCTCCGGTCCACGGTGACATCTCACCCGCCAGGCCCAGTGGCGCCTCACCTCCGACCACCAGCCCTGCCTCAGGCTCGGCTGCCCCTCCGGTCCACGGTGACACCTCACCCCGGGCCACCAGTGGCGCCTCACCTCCGACCACCAGCCCTGCCTCAGACTCGGCTGCCCCTCCGGTCCACGGTGGCACCTCACCCCGGGCCACCAGTGGCGCCTCACCTCCGACCACCAGCCCTGCCTCAGGCTCGGCTGCCCCTCCGGTCCACGGTGGCACCTCACCCCGGGCCACCAGTGGCGCCTCACCTCCGACCACCAGCCCTGCCTCAGGCTCGGCTGCCCACGGTGGCACCTCACCCCGGGTCACCAGTGGCGCCTCACCTCCGAGCACCAGCCCTGCCTCAGGCTCGGCTGCCCCTCCGGTCCACGGTGACACCTCACCCCGGGCCACCAGTGGCGCCTCACCTCCGACCACCAGCCCTGCCTCAGGCTCGGCTGCCCCTCCGGCCCACGGTGGCACCTCACCCCGGGCCACCAGTGGCACCTCACCACCGACCACCAGTCCTGCCTCAAGATCAGTTGTCATTACAGCACACAAGGGCACCTCTTCCAAGGTTACCATGACCCAAACCAGCAACGGCACTCCATCCTCAGTTCCCAGCTCTTATACTCCCACCATTTTTGCCAGCCACATTACCAGGACAACTGCCAGCAGCACTAACCAGAGCATAGTACCTCCCTATGCTCCCACCTCCTCCAATCATAGGACTTCTCAGCAGTTGCCTGGTAGGGTCTCCCTGTTCTTCCTGTCTTTTCGCATTACGAACCTCCAGTTTAACTCTTCCCTGGAAAATCCCAGCACCAGCGACTACCAGAAGCTGCAGAGATGCATTTCTATATTGGTGAGTAGCTGCCTTTCCTCCACCGTGCTCCCCCGAAGCACCCTTCAGAACTCTTTGAAGACCTTGCATCAAAACTTAGTCCTGGGCTTCCCTGGTGGCGCAGTGGTTGAGAGTCCGCCTGCTGATGCAGGGGACACGGGTTCGTGCCCCAGTCCGGGAAGATCCCACATGCCACGGAGCAGCTGCACCCTGTGAGCCATGGCCGCTGAGCCTGCGTGTCCGGAGCCTGTTGCTCAGCAACAGGAGAGGTCACAACACTGAGAGGCACGCGTACCGCAAAAAAAGAAAACTTAGTCCTTTCCCTCTCACCCTAGTTTGTGCAGACTTATAAACAAGAGGATTTTCTGGGCCTCTCAGACATCAAGTTCAGGTACAGTTCTGGGTGTGGACTCTATGTGGGATGGGTGGATGTTGTCTTGGCTGTGTGGAGGGGCTGGTGCGCTTGTGGTTGTGGGGGGTGGGTGGTGTGCTGACCCAGAAGCTGGGACCCATGGTTAAGTTGCCTGTTTCTCTCTGACCAGGCCAGGATCTGTGGTGGTAGAATTAACTTTGGCCTTCCGAGAGGGTACCACTGCCCACAACGTGGAGAGACAGTTTGGTCAGCTTGAAGCAGCAGCAGTCAAATGTAACCTGACCATCAGTGGAGTTAGTGGTGAGATCACTTCCCCAGCTGCCAGCCAACACCACACCGCCCGGGACCCTCTCTCTCTCCAGCATCTGGATTCCTGCTTTTCCTCTTGGCACTAATAAGGGGAGGGTCAACCTCCTTTCAGAGACTGCTCTGACCTCTGCTTTTCCTTTTAGTGCGTGATGCATCATTTCCTTCCTCTGCCCAGTCTGGGTCTGGGGTGCCTGGCTGGGGCATTGCCCTTCTGGTACTGGTCTGTGTTCTGGTTGCCCTGGCCATCATTTATCTCATTGCCCTGGTAAGTGCTCAGTCCCCAGCCCTGACCATAGTTCCTCTGCTAGAAGGAACCCCCATGCCCCCCATTACCTCCTATCTCCCCAGGTTGTGTGTCAGTGCAGACAAAAGAACGGTGGGCAGCTGGACCTCTTTCCAATCCGAGATGCCTACCATCCTATGAGCGAGTACCCCACCTACCACACCCATGGGCGCTATGTGCCCCCTGGCAGTACCAAACGGAGCCCCTTTGAGGAGGTGAGGATGGCGGAGGGAGGCAGAGGCTTTGGCTGGCAGGGATTCTGAAAGAGTGCTGGGAAGTCCAAAGAACTTAGAAGAGGTGAGAGTGACAGTAGGCAGTGAGGGCCTGACAAGGCTGGGGTTGGAGGTCAGGTGAGTTCTGGGGGAAAGGCCTTGGGAAGAGACCATGGAAGAAGGGGGACCTCAGTAGGGGGTGCCCCCACTACCAGCACTCCCAGAAGAGCATTCACTGCTCCGCTGAACTGGTGCCAGGGCTGTTCACTGGGATGCCCAGAGGCGAAATGAGTGGGGCACTGCGCCCAGGGGAGCCCTTCATGGAAGGAGCACCTGTGCCCCAGCTCGTCTCCGAAGAATGGAGGGTAGATTGAGACAGGCTAGTGGGGAGGAGGGGTCTCTGAATGGGGAAGAAGTCTCACCAAGCCAGGTGAGCTTGGGTGCCGGGTGAGGGGGCCGTTCTTGGGAATCTCTGGAGAAGCACAGACCCCTCCTCCCTCTTTCTTCCTTTCTCTCCAGGACCTAGTAAATAATTACTTGGCCACCTGGGGCTGGAAAGCCACTCCAAGTGGGGGAGGGGAGAGGAGTTTCCTTTTCTTGACCCCATTTTTCCTCCCCCTGGGGACTTCCTTCTTCCAGTTTTACAGACACACACATATCTCCTTGGGCTGGAGGAGCAGAGAATGGAGGGAAAAGTGGGCAGGAGGGGAAAGCCGGGGGAGCTGATAAAAGCCGAGGGGAGGGAGGGAAGGGGAGCTCGAGGAGGAGGAGTGGCCCTGTTTACAGTCACCTGGCTGCCGGTGGTGACCAGCAGGTGCTCTCTCCAAATTAACCCTTTGAGAGCTAGTCAGGTGCCTGGACCATTCACCCCAGCCACGGGGTGCCATCCAGGGGCCTTGGGGAGGAAGCTTCTCCCAGGAAAGCTTCTGCCCCTCACCCTGGATCCCTTCTCCCCCTACCTAGGTTTCTGCAGGCAACGGTGGCAGCACTCTCTCTTACACGAACCTGGCAGCCACTTCCGCCAACTTGTAGGGGCACGTTGCCTGCTGAGCATCCAGCCAGCGCCAACTGCCTCCCTGGGTTTCTTCACTGCTGCAGCCCCCACCTTGCCCCCAACTCTGTTCTGGGCTGATGAGCTGGGCGTTCAGGTGGGCTGCCCACAGTCTCCCTCACAGGCCCCACCAAGTCCCCTAACCCATCTTAGCCCTGGCGAAGCCCATCCGAGCCCCTGGGGACAAGCCTGAGGCAGTGGCTCCCAGGAGGACTGGCCCGGACAGCTCAGAGATGGGAGTGGGAACCTGAACATGGCTGAATAAAACTCGGGCCTCCTCTGCACTGACCGCCAACTTTTTTTTTTGCGGTACGCGGGCCTCTCACTGTTGTGGCCTCTCCCGTTGCGGAGCACAGGCTCCGGACACGCAGGCTCAGCGGCCATGGCTCGCGGGCCCAGCCGCTCCGCGGCATGTGGGATCTTCCCGGACCGGGGCACGAACCCGCGTCCCCTGCATCGGCAGGCGGACTCTCAACCATTGCGCCACCAGGGAAGCCCAACCGCCAACTTTTGATCTGTCTTCTGTGACCTGCTGATAGAGGGGCGGTCAAAATGTGTGTGAGGGGTTATGGAAGAGACCTTGGGAAAGGCGAGGGAGGAAAGAAGACCAGAAGGAGCGGGGTTCACTTGAGAAGTAGGTGACATCGGGGCGCAGGAGTGCTTGGTGGAAGAACTTGAGTCACCTCCGTCACCTCTCCTGCATGGCTGGCGGCGCAAGAAGGAGGAAACGAAACTCGGCGGCTCCATCGGCCAGCTTGACCCGGCTCCGCCCGCCTGCACGCCCGTGGCTCTCCCCTTTCCCCGGGCCTGGTTTTCACTCCCGCGGCCTCCTCTCCCCTTGGCACGGTGCCCCCAGGCGGCTCTATTCTTAGCTGTCCGGGTGTGAAGTAAGTCCTCGGGCGGCGATAACAGCTGCAGAGTCAACAGGGCCACGATAAGCTCCATGTCATATCCGGGGGCTGGCACCGGGCCCGGGCCCCTCCCTGGCCGCCCCGCCCGCCTCTGGCTCTGGGGTTGGCTACCCAGCACCCTGGGAATGGGGAAGTCGTTCTGGTTCCCTGATCCCTTTGGGCCCAGGCACGGGGCCCGCCCCCTCAATCGCATTCCCGCAGAGCCTGGCGCCGCCGCCCGGACGCCCCCTCGCGGGGCTGACGCAAACAGCCACCGGAGCGAGGCGCCCCCTGGCGGCCACGATCGGCTCGGGCCTGGGCTGGGTACAGGTGTGGCAGAAGGCGGGGAAGCGACGGGCTTGGGGACCTCCTTCCCTCAGGCGCCAGATCCACTGTGCACCCCTGCTCTGAGTAATAGCACGGAACCCTCGATTCCCCGCCCCCGCCCCGCCCCGCCCCGCCTGCCACATCCAGCACAGAAACTAAGAGGAATGGGCTCAGGGAAGGCAAAGACATCACAGGAAGGCCTGGCATCACAGTTTATTGTTTATAAACCATGAAAATAACAGCTGTTGCTTGACATAGGCCTAGCAGTGCTCACCGCAGGGGGAGGCAACAGCGGGCACCAGAGGCCTTGCCAGGCCCAACCCAATGGGGACACTCAACCTAAGCTGGCTCCCCAAGGGAGACTTGGCACGTTGGCATGGGTGCAAGACAGGTAAAGCATGCAAGAGGGAGAAGAGGGAGTTAAGAGGCATGCGGCTGGGGGTACAGGAACCCAAATAAATAAAGCAGGATGATAGGGTCCCTTTCCCCTCACCAGGGAGTGCCTGGGCAGTGTCCAGCCAAAAAGCCTGCACGCCCCAAAGCTGTAGTTCAGCATGGATGAGTCAGGGAGCTTGGCAGGGCAGAGGGCAGAGCTGCGGAGCATGCCCAGTGTTCCAGGTGCCTTCCTTCCCAATCAGCCTGGGGAGGAGCACAGGGCAGGGATGGGGAAGGGGCTGTCTCCATGACTTGGGTAAGATGCCAAGGGCAGGTCACAGGGCAGAGACGTGGGAGTGGGAGCCTGGATTAACAGGCAGTGGAGAGAATGGGGGACATCCAGAGAGGCGAGCAGAGAAGAGTCCCTTGGTCAAGAGAAGGCCCTGGGAAGACACAGACATAGGGGGACAGGACCACATGGCAGGAAGAGTTTGAGGGAGAAGCTTCGGGCGGAATAACCCAGCTTCAGGAGGCTTGGAAGGCCAGGGCCCAGGAGAGGCCTGGAAGGGTCAGTCCAGCTTGGCAAAGCCCCCAATGGTGACCTTCCTCTCGGGCTTAGTGCCCACGGGCTCCTGTAGCTGTACTGCACCACCCCCAATAAAACAAAAGGCAGGGCACACAGGTCCCGAGCAGTCCAGGGGGCACTCCAGGAGCCCTCGGAAGGACACAGCATCCAGGAAGGAAACCCGACCCCGCTCGTAGTCCAGGCAGATGCCCAGGCGGGGCGGCAGGGGCACTGTGCAGCTTGCTGCCGGGCCATCCCTCCCTGTCAGCCCCGCATTTGAGCTGGCCCCAGCCCCCAGCAGGATCTTGCCCATGCCAATGGTTAGGAAAGCGAAGGGTGGCGACGCCTCCACTGTGGCATCCTCGGCACCGCTGTCATGCCCACTGTCCGGGTCGTACCTGCAGGGGTGGGCGTTGGGTAGGAGGACGTTGGGGGGTGGAGTAAGTGTGTGGGGGAGGGGGTACCAGAGGGCTGAGATGTTGGAAGGATGGAATGTTGGGGAGCAAGTGGTTCAAAGGATTCATCTGGGGTGCTTCCTTGGTGGCACAGTGGTTAAGAGTCTGCCTGCCAATGCAGGGGACACGGGTTCGAGCCCTGGTCCGGGAGGATCCCACATGCCGCGGAGCAGCTAAGCCCGTGCGCCACAACTACGGAAGCCCGCGCCGCCTAGATCCCGTGCTCCGCAACAAGAGAAGCCACCGCAGTGAGAAGGCCCGCGCACCGCAACGAAGAGTAGCCCCCAGCTCGACGCAACTAGAGAAAGCCCACGCAGCAGTGAAGACCCAACGCAGCCAAAAATGAAAGAAAAATTAAAAATAAATAGAAAAAAAAGGATTGATTCTGGGCATTGAGAAGAAAACATGTTGAAGAGACAGGGGTTAGAATATAGGGCTGGGGGTTTGGTTTGGTAGGGAAGGGGTGTTGACAGGAAAGCACATTGGCCAGAGAGGTGGGGGGAGGAGAAGAAAGACAGGGTATCGCTAAAGCACAGCGAAGAAATGCAGAGCTTCCAACACAGGAAGGTGGTGAGGAAATGGTGCTGGGAAATCATGCTGAGAGACCATTTTGAGGGTTAGAGAATCTTGGAAGGATGAGGGGTTAGTGACTAAGGTACTAGGGAGAGGGGGAGAGCAGAGAAAGGAAGCTGGGAAGGTGGCTGTTGGGAGGGAGATGACGGCGGATCAGTGCCTTAGATGAAGGATGTTAGAGGGATGCAGGGTTTTGGGGACCATAGGGTTAAGAGGGAACTGGTGTCGAAAAGAAGGCATTTTAAAGAAATGGGGTACTGGGGGATAGAGTGCTGGGGAGGAAGGGGTCAGGGAGAAAAGTATGCGTGGGTGGGTGTTAAACAGGATGTTGTGGATGAGACAATATGGAGATGGAAAGTTGAAGGGAAGAATTTTAGGATGTTGAGAAAAGATGTGGGTGAAGGAGGTACTGGAGGGAAAAGGCTTTGTGGAGAAAAGGATGTTGGAAATGGGGTGTTAGGGAGCAAGGACACGGAGACTTGGAGAGATGGTGTTTTAGCCTGAGTGACAGATGGAGGGAAGTGGAGATGGCTCCCTTTACTATTGTCCCTTTCCCCAGCCACTCCGAATATCAGTCCACAAAGCTCTTTCACTGAGCCCACATTTCTCCAGACCACAGCCACCCCCACAGCCTGGCTCTTATTACTTCCTCCTAATCTCCTCCCACCTCCATCCCAGCAAGTGTGTCCTCCCCTTGCACACCCCCGCCCCGTCCCCAGCTCCCCCCCACCCAGGTCCCCAAACCCCCATCCCTTCCAGAGAGGCCTGACCTGGGGCTGATCACATCGGGGGCACCCTGGAAGCTTTCCTGAAGCTTGCTCTCCAGCCCGACGCCCACCTTCACCAAGTAGGAGGCTGGGTCTACGGCGCAGGCCCAGTAGCTGCGGCCCTGGGTCACAGCCACATCGCCCAGGACCACATCCACGCTCAGGTGGCAGCCCGTCAGTAGCCGCTCAGCAGCCAGCAGCAGGGGCAGCCCTGGAACACTCCGCACCGCTCGCTGGTCCTTGCTGATGGCCAGCCGCTCTCGGCTTGTGCCCCAGCGGCCGTCGAGGAAGAAGTGCAGGACTGGAGTTGGGGAGGTTGAGACAGAAGGAAGGGCTTCAGGGACAAACACTGGCACCGGGGGGACCTTGAGGTGTTAGCACGAGACACTGGGAGATTTCAGAACATGGAACGAGTTGCCAAGGGATGGGCAGGGGGCTCTGGGGAACAGGGCCTGGAGAACTGGAATGGGGAGCATAGGAAGAAAGAAGGGGCATCCCATCCCAAGTGGGCATGGGACCACAGGAAGAGTTTTAGTGATGATTAGCGGGCACAGAAATCAGTCTCCCAGACCCAGCTGACTCGCTATGCTGCCTCCCACCCCTTTCCCACGGCTGCGCCATGGAGGGTCCCCACTGCTGTCCATTCCACCTGGTGATATCCCACCACCATCCACCTGCACTTTCCAGCCCGCACTCTGGTGCTCTTACACTTAACCCCTAACTCTTCTGCCCCCTACTTGGGTGGTGATGCTTCTCTATTATGCCTACACCCTGGAGTCCCCACTATTTTCTGGAGAGTCACTTTACCAACATTTATCGAGCCCTTACCATGAGCCAAAAACTCAGCTAAGCCCTTACACGTTATCATCTCACTTAATTCTCACAACAACCTTATGAGATAAGTATTGTTACTATCCCTACAGAAGAGGAACTCGAAGTTCAGGGAGGGTGAATAACTCGCGTAAAGCCACACACCTGGCAAGAGGCAGAGCTGGGATTTGAACTCAGGCAGTCTCGCTTCAGAGCTAGTGAGAGTGACACACTGTGTTATGCCATCTCCCCGGGGCCCACCCAGCACCAGCTGTCAGTGCCTGGGGCCCAAGTGTACCCTGTGCCCACTCACCGGGCGCTGGGGGCGTGTGCAGGTGCACATCTTCACTGTACTCGCCGTAGCCGGCCTTGTTGCAGCCACGGACACGCAGCACGTACACAGAGCCTGTGTCAGGGTTCTCAAGCAGGGCGCTGGTGCCCCTCACCTCTTCTCGCCGCTGCCAGCGGGTGGGGCCCGGCTGGGCTGGCACATCCGTGCGCCGGAACTCGACGGTGTAGTGCCAGGCAGGTGGTGAGTGGGGGGGCAGCCGCCAGCACAGGAAGATCTGGTCGTAGGCAAAGGTGCGCTGGGTGTCAATGACTGGAGCCTCGGGCACTGTTGGAAGAGACAGCGGGGGTCAGTCAGGCCTGGCCGCGGGCCTGGCATGGAGGGTGAGCAGGAAAAGGGAAAGCAGCGGGAGCCGGGGGGGTGAGTGTGAGTGAGAGGGATCTGGAGAAGACACCTGTCTGGACCCCGGGCAGGGATGGGCAGGGCAGAGCCCGCGGGGGAAGGAGAGACAGGAGGCCTGATGCCAGTCCCGGTCTGCCACTCCTTTGCTCTGGCCTTAGGCCAGTCACGCCCCCTTTCTGGGCCTCAGTTTCCTCCTCTGTCAAATGAGGGTATGAGATCACATGGTGTCCCTTCTTTCTATGACCCTTTTAATTCTATGAATAAAGAGGAGCCCCAGGGAAAGGCAGGCAACGGCCACTGAAGCCCAGGCAAGAGGGCACTGAACAGGAAGGAGGGAACCGAGTGGGAGGGAGACAGATGCAAGAGTCAGCAAGACAGAAAATAGGGGACAACAGAGGGCAAGCAAAAGCTTGATGGCAGGGGACAAGGTCAGGGGGAAGAGAAGGGAAGTCTAGAGGGCAAAGGTCACATGGACAAAAGGTCAGAAAGGCAAGGATTGAGAAAGGAAGGCACAAGAGAGACAGAGGGCACCGGTCAGGGGAGAGGAAGGCGGGGATGGGTTCTGGTCAGGGCAGGAAAGAGAAGGAAGCCGTGAGTGGGTAGCCGGGCTGTGTGGGAGTGGCAGGGCAGGGCAGGGGGCCTGGTTGGGGGCAGGACCCCTGGGGCAGGGCCGCTGACTTGCCTGGGGTGCTCCGGAGCAGAGTCCGCGGTGGCCACAGCCTACAAACAAAGAGAGGGAGAAGGAGCGCTGAGCGCGGTGGGACAGTGTGCGGGGGGGGGGCTGGGCGGGCAGGGCGGCTGGCCAGGCCAGGCAGGAAGCTGGGGAGTTCCCCGGCGGGCGCTGCCCCCCGGGCCCGCTGCTGGGGGGAAGGGAGGAAGGCTCTAACTGGGCTCGGGGCCTGGCCATCTCCTCACCTCGCAGGAAGTTAAGCTCTGTCAGCAGCTTCATCTCACGCCCCACGTCCAGCTGGCAATGGCGGAAGGAGGAGCTGGCAGCTGGCCGGAACATCTGGAGGGCCTCCGTAGCTCGGGCAATCCTGGGACGGGGGCAGGCCAGGGTCAGGCACTGCCATCTGGGCCGCCACCCTTCCCCTTGATTCTGCCTCGCCTGCCCCTAGAGCCTTGGTATCTGCCGGGGGCCTTCTTCCCTGTCCATTCGGGCAAACTGATATCAGTGTGGCCTGGTGAAAATCCTCAGGGCCCAGCTCTCCATCAGGCAGTACTCTCGACATTGCCTTGTACATGGACCACACCCACGACTGCCCCTACCCCGCAGGAGGCCATGCCCCTGAGTACCTGTTGTGCAGCTGTTTGGCTGCTTGCACAAAGCAAGGCTGGTCTGTTTCCTTAAGAACCTCCTGAGCGTAGCCCACCAGACCTGAGCCATCCAGCAGACTCCGGTGCTCCTGGATCTGGGCGCTGAGACGGGCCAGCCGCTCCTGCTGGCACTCCTCAATGGCCTGAAGCAGGGATGCCCGCCTCTCCTCCAGCACAGCCCCCAGCCCCCGCACCAGCTGGGACACCTCCTCCTTGGCCTGCTGACCACTCACCTGCCCAGAGAGCAACACTTACTATCTTCTTCTTGAAGGCAGCACCTGCACCAGACTCCTGGGGCACCATGCCATGGCTAGGATCACAAAGGATCTGGGGAAATCCTACCTACCCATTCTAATAGGGCCAGGTTCATGGCTCCAAAGACTCCTGTACACCCAGATGGGCTCAACTCCTGACCATTTGTGCTAACCTTGCTGGATGCCCACACCATAATCAATCCTGATCCCTTGAGGACTCCCCCAGATAAGAGGCCATGACTATGCTAATGTCCACCTGTACTGTACTAACATCTTCCAGCATCTGTGCCATCGTTATCGCCCATCCCCATATCAGCTGATTCAAGCAATCTGGCAAAAGGTATCAGAGCCATCGCCTCACCCTCCTTGGTCCAGGGATGTGCACTATCCTCAGCAGGCAGCTGGGCCTGAGGGCATCTGAGCTCCATCCCTGGGGCTTGCTCTCCCTCTCCTGGGTGATAGACACCCTGTCTCCACTGTAGCCTTGGGTACCACCTGGCCTGGGGCACTGTTGTTCCTGATGGCCTGGTTTAACCAGAACCTCGACATATCCATGGACCCTACATGGGCTTCCTGAGCTTGCAACCAGGTGATTAGGCTGTGCACATCCACACCCCCGTCCTGCTCCCACTCCCAGGCAGGGCCCAGGGCCCACCTCCATGCCCTCCCTCACCTCAGTGTGCCTCACGGTCTCCTCCAGCTCACAGATCTGGGTCTGTACTGTGTCCTGGTTTCCCAGGATGTATGTCAGGCTCTTTGTCAGCTTGTCCTGAGGGGGAAGAAAGAGGTGGGCATCACACCCGGCTCCAAAGAAGCCAGCAGTTCAGAGGAGGTGTGAGAGGGTGTGAGTGTGGGTCAGCACTGGGGCAGAGTGAGGCGGGGTCCTCACCTTGAGGGCCTGGTAGGCACTGAGCACAGGTGTGATCTTGTGGCCGCTGTGGGTGCGTCGCACACGGCAAAGTTGGCATACCAGTCGTTGGCATGTCTTGCAGTAGTGGGTCACCTCTTCTTTGTGATCTGGGCACATCAGGCCCTAGGGACAAAAAGAGCAATGAGACAGTCAGCCAGTGGTGCGTGTAAGGGTGCTGACCTACCACAGAGCAGTTTGGTGCCCTCCCTCTGCTGGCCCAATGTGGGTGGAGAGGAGTTCAGGTGGTGGTGCTCCATGGTGCCACCTGGTGGTACACCCTGGCATCAAGGAGAGCCTTTCCTGCAAGCTCCAGGCATTTTAGCCTTGCTTCTCCCTTCATTTACCTCACAGAAATGTGTGGTAATAACAATAATGATGGTAATCTTAGCCTTGTGCTTAATAATTAGCCTTGGCCATCTTGTTTACTGCTGTAGCCTAGAATAGCACCAGGCACATAGGTTCTTGATAAATATTTGTTCAATGAATGAATGCATAACAGACTGTTTTAGTGTATAAATAACCACAAACATTATCTCAGTGATCCTTTCAACAACCCTGCAAGCACAGATATTGCAGGGCAGATATTATAATCCTCATTCAGCAGATGAGATGGAGGCTCAAAGACGTTCAAAGATTTGTCCAGTGCCTTTTCGTTACAGAAAAAGGAGCTCGGCAATGGCAACTCCCTGGCCGTCTCCTTTTGGAAGCCCACAGTGCTGGGCACGCCCTCCCACCCAGCACCACCATGCCCCTCCCTTCCCAGGCCCCGCAAGGGCTGGCTCACCTTGGGGCGGAAGGAGAGGGTGGGCAGGGTGGGCTCATGTTGGGCCTTCTGGGTGCCCCAGGGGTGGAAGAGCTTGAAGCATTCGTTGCAGAAGGTGGCGCGGCACTCAGTGCAGCCCTTGGTGGCCTCTAGTGGCGGGGGCTTGCACAGCTGGCACAGGATGGCGCCACCCACACTCACACTCTGGCGGTACCGCTCCACCACACGCTCCAGGGTCAGGTTCCGGAACAGCCCTGCCAAGCCCCGCTCCCCCAGCTCCACATCGCCCTGGCAGGCTGGGCACGGAAACATGATCACCTGAGGGTGCAGAGCACCTCGCTTCCGCCCGGGGTATGTCCCAAAGCCTGTGGATGGGCCGGGAAGTAGGGAGGTGAAAATTATAGCTGGCTCAGAGTGGGGGAAGTCTTTTCAATTAAAAAATTAATTTCTGTTGTGCCAGAGCGCAGCTCTCATTAGAGCCTGGATGGGCAGTATCTCCACCCCCTGAAAAACAGACAAATGCCCTTGGCCAGTGATGGACCCCTTCCACCTTCCTGATGGACATCCCAGCATCCCCACCCCCCCACCCCACAGGTGCCAGCCCCACCTGACTTAAGCAGTCGGTCCAAGCGGTCTGGCTTGGGGAGAGTTCTGCGGGAGAGGCGGGGACTTCGGGTAGAAGGGGTGGAGGCAGGAGAGGTGGGCTCAGAGCTGGGGTCCCCACCATGGCCTACGTAGCCCTGCTGGCCCAGCACCTCCCGGGCACAGGCCTGGCATACATTGTGGGTACAGGGCAGCACCAGTGGCTGCTTATACATCTCTTGACACACTGGGCACAGCAGTTCCTTCTCCATGTTCTTCATGCTCGTCTGTGGAGGGACCAGGAGGTTGGATCAGAGCTTGGACACCTGGGCATATCTCAACAGCCCCTCAACTGCCCCTTAAAGACCTAAAGGGTCTCAGGAATGGACAAGACAAGTACAAGGGACCAGACAAGCTATGGATTTTCCCCAGCACAAGCTTTGGCCTGGTTCACAGGCCTTCTCAGCTCCCTGTCTCTTGCTTCTGTTTCACTCCTGCAGAGCTACAGACCTGAGGAGGAGGAGGGATGGTTGGAGCTCGGGTCACCCCAGCCTCAAGCCCCACCCCCTTCACTGTCCCAGTCCCAGCTGGACCTGCAGCCCCTCTCACCTGGCCTTTGCCCCTATCCCCCCATATCCGGGCCGCCGGCCCCAGGCACATCTCTCAAGGATACAGCCCATTCAGCAGCTCGGTGCGGACCCCCGCCCGCTTCTCTGGCACTCCCCTGCCCCCCCCTCCCCCGCGTGACTCCTCCCTAAAGCCAGGCTCTCTCCATCCTCCTGCTCACCCAGTCTGTCCTCCTGCCGCGGCTCCAGGCTGCAGCCGCCCTCGGCTCCATCCCCCATCACTAACCCATCCGGCTCCTCCTAACCCATTCCCTTTTGCCCCCCACCATCCGGCCCTCCAGCTCCCTTCCCCGGCGTAACCCGGCCTGCCGCAACCCCCTCCCCAAGCAAGGGGGAAAGGAGCGCCCCGCCTACTTGCCCCCTCCCCACCGGAAGTACCCCTCCCTTTTTTGGTGGCGGGGGTCCTCAAGCTATGCCCCACCCCCACACCTCACCTTGGTCCCTCTCTTCGCAGCCATCCCGGTCAGGGGCGCAGCTGACACAAAGGAGGGAGGGACACGGAGGGAGGGGGAAGGAAGTGGTTGGGGGGAGCAAGGCTGGCACCGCCCCTGGGAGAGCCGGGCCCGGGTTGCCATGACAACCGAAGGCTAAGAGGCAGCCCTGAGTGGGGGTGCAGTGGGGTGGGGTCTTGCGGAGGGGCTCAAATTGGGAACTGCACCGTGGGGCGGCCCTTTCCTCGCCCCCCACCTGTCCTCAGTTTTCTTGGACTATATCCAAGCTCACTCACGCCCTCCCCTCATAGCATAGCCCCGTTGCCCTGCAGCCCCAGCCCCAGCGCACGGCTGGAGGCTACCCCAAGCCACCCGCTGCGTCCGGGTAGCTACATGTTCCTCACACCCCAGCGGATGGACGCCTTCACGGCATTCACCTCCCGGCTGCCCCCGGGATTACCCTCTCATACCTGCATCCCGACCCTCCCAGTCCTTTCTGCCATCACCCGCCCCCTGTCTACATCCCAGCATCTTGCGGGACCCCCACCTGTTCGAGGTCCCGGCTTGCCCGGGACCCCTATACTCCCCCTCCCCTTCCCCTCGACCCCACCTTAACTCACACTGATGCGGACCAGTGCATCCATGATGGAAGTGAAGACCTGCATATCCTCACCCTCAGCCATGGCCCTACCATGCCCGCCCGCCCCCGTGTGCCCGATCCCGGCTGCGGCTGCGAACCCCGAGCTTAATGCAGGAGCCCGGTGGGGATGTGGGGAGGGGTGGGGTGAGATGTCACTGCGCATGCTCCAGGGACCAGCCTCGAGCGGCGCTGGTCGAGGTAGGAGGTGGGAAATAGTTTTTCCCACGTGGTTCTAAGAGGCTGTCGGGTCGGGGGGTGGGGTGGGGTTGGCTGGGTAACATGGAATCGTATTTGAGGGGGAGCCATTTCTTATGTTCGAATTCTTCATTGGCTTCTAATCTTACTCATATAAAGCAGAAGGATAGTTTCAGAGAAAGATGGGCTCCAGATGGAAGGACTAGATTTTGGTTTGGGCAAGAGTCCAGGGGAGATACCAAGGCAATGATCATGGGGCAGGTGGTCTTGAGGAACAGGCACTAAAGCTGACATAACTGACAAAGAAGACAGAAGTGGGCTAGAGGCTATAGTCCATGGGCACAGTGACTTGAAGAGTTAAGTGCAGCTTGCACTGAGAGGCAGCAGATGCTCTGGGTGCGGGGAAGGGCGGGGGACGAGGGTGGTGGCCAAGGACGCTCTTGGACGCAATATTTCCTCCCTTCAGGAAGAGGGCGCTGCATTCAGGCGCCGAGAGGGAGAAAGAGGAAGACGTGGGGGAGAAGCAAGTCCACGTTGGGGGGCTGACGCATGCGCACAGCCAGCTGTGCCCGGTACGGCTCTCCTCTTGTACAGGGGCGCGGATTGGACCCGAGGGCAGGGCACGATGGGTAACAGGACCAGCGGGGTCCCCCACCGGGCGGACTAGTAGGGGGTCGGATTTGGGCGGATCAGCTTTCGCGGTCCTCTCCCCGCAGAACTGACGTGTCCTGGGTTCCAGACGACGGGCATTTTCCACGGGGCCGGAGGGTTCGGGGCGTCCGGGACTGAGGAATTCTTGGGGGTTGCCACGGGGTGTGGGGAGTTGGGGAGGGTGGCTGCAGTCCCGGGAGTGCTTGCAGGTGGTTGGGCCCTCGAGTTCCCGGACCTGCCGAATCTGCCCTGCGGCTCCTGGAGGGAGGGCTGGGCCTGACTCTGCGTGTCTTCTCCACTCCAGTGGTGGGTACAGGCACCTCGCTGGCGCTGTCCTCCCTCCTGTCCCTGCTGCTCTTCGCTGGGATGCAGATGTACAGCCGCCAGCTGGCCTCCACCGAGTGGCTCACCATCCAGGGCGGCCTGCTTGGTTCCGGCCTTTTCGTCTTCTCTCTCACTGTATCCGTTTTGAGGGGGAGCGGGCAGAGGTGTTTGAGGGTAGGAAGGGCGGTGGGCCACTCAGGCTTGTACCCTTCCCATTAGCCAAACATCTCTGTCCCTGTTGCACGTCCTACTCCTTAATTCCCTCAACCCAGGCCTTCAATAATCTGGAGAATCTTGTCTTTGGCAAAGGATTCCAAGCAAAGATCTTCCCTGAGAGTAAGTGAAAATTGGGGGTTGAGTATTTGAACTCTCTCCAGTAACCTCCCCCAACACGGTACTGAATTTCCAGGTGCTTAGTCAGTAAAGGTTTTTTAGGAGGAAAAAATATGTGTATTAAGACTGTCTGGAGACAGATGATGGTTTTGCATGCAGCACTTTATCTAGCTCCCGGAACTGGAGCTAGAAGAGAGGGCCTCTGAAAGCAAGAAACTCAATTACTTCCTGGCCAGTTCCCAGGGAAGGTTTGAGGGGAACAGGCAGGTTTGGGCCTGTGATGAATACATCCAAGAAGGGATGTTCTTTGTTTCCACCAGAAAAAGAAGAAGAAGGGCCAAATCAGTTGAGGCTCCGAGGTGAAATTGACCCAATATTAGTGAATTCTGTTTGAGATGATTGTGAAGAGCCTAACTATTAGATTCACCAGCTTTCTGTGTCAGCAGGTATCCTGACCAAATTAGAGTAACTGTCAGATTGTTTTCCTTTTGAAACGGTTCTAATCAAGAATTGATGATTCAGTTATTTATGGAGAATTAAGTTCATAAAGCCAATTAGGCATCAAGGCCAGATCACCTAAGGGATGCCACATGCCCCAAATGGACAGCAGATGCCACCTCTGGTGAAGCCTTCACCTGGTAGAACAAAGACCTGTCACTGTGGCCCTCGTTTCTTTGTCCTCCTTATGTTTTGCTCTTTCCACCTAGGCTTCTGGAGGTCCTTTCGTACAGTGGCTTCAGAACTTCTCTCTGTTAGATTTTATTTCTAAGTGCATTGTCTTCATTTGCTTCTGAAAGAAACCTTTGTAGTGGGGCAAGCTATTTGGCTCTCTTCACCTGCCCTGCCCTCCCAAGCTGGGCAGGTGGGATTGCCCTTGCTATCTGCCCTCCCACCTTCTCTCTAGTCCTACTCTAGATGTCTTGAGACCCTTTTCTGCCCCCATGGGTGTGTGTACCCAGACACTCTGCTCTCCAACTTATGTCCAGGAACTGAGGCCCTCGACTTCCATAACTAGCCAGCCAGGTTAATGAATTGATCCCCATTGTCTGGCTTCTGTTGGAAAGGCCTTGACTCTCTTTCTCATATGGGAGCAAGCCTTGCCCTTCAGATTCTGCTGTCACCTTTCCTTTTCCTTTTTATTGGAGGGAAGCCAGGATAGAGAAGTTAAGTGATATTTGGGGCAGAGCTGGTAATGAGCATGCATCTCCTACCTCCATGTCCTGGGCATCAATAAGGCCATCTGAGGTCCTCCTGCTGTTGTCATGCCCTTCCCCTCCAAGCAGTTCCCCCAGGATTCAGAGGGCCCCAGATTTCTTCTAGACCCCACATATGAATGCCTGGTGTTTCCATTCTGACCACCCTCCTTGTCCCCTCTTGCTCCCCCAGTTCTCCTCTGCCTCCTGTTGGCTCTCTTTGCATCTGGCCTCATCCACCGAGTCTGTGTCACCACCTGGTAAGTGCCTGACAGCTGAGTAAGGGGTGTAGCATCCTGTCCTTTGGCACCCCATCCTCCTGTGATGGTTCCAGACTTCCCCATACGTCCCTCCCACTCTGTTCTCCCTCTGTCCCCTTCCCCATTTTCCTAAACCTGATCCTGGATTCTTTCCCTCATGCTGGTATCTGTCTGCTCTAGGAGGCAACAGGCTGGCAGCATGGGCACTGATACCATGACCTTTCTCCTTCACCCTGTAGCTTCATCTTCTCCATGGTTGGTCTCTACTACATCAACAAGATCTCTTCCACTCTGTACCAGGCAACAGCTCCTGTCCTCACACCAGCCAAGGTGACGGGCAAGGGCAAAAAGAGAAACTGACCCTAAATGTTTAATAAAGTTGATTCTTTGTAGCTCTGTAAGCTGTGACATGCTGTGGGCCTCTCCTGCCCATCACTGCATGGGTGTGCAGAATGTTGGGGCAGATGGGTACTTGCTGTTTTCAGACCTTGAGGATGGTGGGGTTTCCTTCCTCCAAGGTTCATTTTTACCAAATATTTATTGAGTGCCATCAGTGCCAGGCACTTTGCCAGGCACTGGAGTGGCACATACTTGTGTAAGAGTCTCACGGAAGAAAAGCGCATGAATGATTGGCAGCCTTGCCCTTTGGGAAAAGGGGTAAAGACTGCAGTGCAGGAATTCCTGCCCATCG